AGGGCCACGTTTGCACGTGCACACTGCAGAGGGGCGTGGCGTGGCATGGGTGTGGCATGGGGGTGGGCGTGGCTTGACGTGGCATGGCGTAGTGTGGCTGGGTGGAGGTGTGGTGTGGCAGGGGCAGGGCTGCCTCCCGAGCCGGGGTCACCACTGGATTTCAGGAACAGGAAATGTGCAGGAGTGGTGCTGCGATCAGATCCGTGCTGTATTGTGTTTATATTTACAAACAGAAATAAAAAATTTGCATCTGCCTTCATTAGAACCAAAACATGAAAATGTAGACGAAGAGTACGTTTTAGTAACACTTCCAATGCAAAGATTACAGTCAGTCTTGAGCATGACACTGATTTGTTTAATCAAGTGCATTATGACATTGTTATTCTGAAATTTGATTTTCATACCTAGCAGTATAACCCCGACATGCTTCCATGCCAGTGAAGTCCACAAAGAGCCACTCATTTTTCTGTGATCCACATAGAACGTCAGGGCAGGTCCTGTGGGATTGGGAGTCGTGGTCCCCGGTGTGACGTCGTCCCCGGGTCTGACCTCTGCACACCACCGGGTTCTGTCTCTTCACATAGTTTCAGCGCTACCATCAGGGCTCATCACTTGGATTTTGTAATTTGACTTTTAGGATGCATAAATAGATTCTCTACCCCTCTAAATACCAGGTATCTTGACAGGGTTTTTAGACATGCAAATGTCTTTCAAATTGGCTCCAGAAATCTTCGCTTTTAATGACAGCTTGCAATTTTCTTAGATTCTTGACCGTGAAATGCTTACGGATATTTGAATGTCGTGAACTGAAATTTGGCTGTCCAACAACTTGGTCTGACTTGTGGGCTCAGCGTATGGGATCGTTTGGTTGGCATCCTCTTTGAAGCCAGGAAGCGCTCTCTGCATACTTAATACTGCCTAAAGTCTGCATTTTTACTAGTAGTAGATGAGTCAAAATAGCACATATGATTAAAGGATTCAAAAGTGAAATGGCTGATTCACTTGTTAACTGAACTTCACACAAAAATTTCTCCTTTGTGTTACTGTAGACGCAGTTATTTGTTTGTTTGTTTGTTTATTTATGGTACCGGGATCGAACTCCAGACCTTGCACCTGCAAGTCAGGCTCTTATGCCGCTGAGCTGCCTCCCCTGCCCGACTCAGCTTTTTAGAGATTCTATGAACTACAGTAATTACTGTGTTTATTGCTCAAACTAGCCCCCTTTGGCCAGTGACAGGGTCCCTGGTGTGTTCTTCGGACACAGCACCATTTACTCTCGATTATTTCCTGTCTCTTGTATGCCGTATCGCCACAGGCGTTTCGCAGTGGCTGTTTCTCCAGGATGTGGCGGAAGGGTGGCGGTACAAACCCTGATCTCGAGGGTAAGTTCTCACATCAGGTTCATTTTTCCTCACTCAACACCGTTTTTTAAAAGCTCATTTTAGCAAAAGAATTGGAAAGTGTACTTTCTTCTTTCTTTTAAAAAGCATGAATTCAAAACAAACAAACAAATAAATAAATAGAATGAGTTCCTATTGATGTTTCTATTTCATTTCAAACCTTATGGTTCCTAATTAAAATATTTTGGTTTTATTGTTTC